ATTAGATTCAGAATGGTTAATTAGAGTGCCATTACTTAAACTTAATCAATGTGATTAAGCAAGCCTATAAATAGGCCAATATACACTTAAGTCCCTCATTTTTGTGAACTCAAAATCTGAAATGTGCTCTAGAGAGAGAGAGAGGGGGGCTCAAATTATGAATGTTGGCTCAAAGCTTGGGGATTGGAAGCTAAACTCAAAGATCTAGCTAGAATTTGTGAAGATTGAAGCTCCTAGGTGAGTATTTGGGCATAGATTCATGAATTTAAGATTGTAATTTTATGAATTCAAGTTAGATGGTGATCAAGAACATAATTTGAGTTGAAATTGATGAATTTGGAGCTTGTATATGCATACATGTGCATATTTGCCATGAATTTATACATTCAAACATGAATCATGTTGAACAAGAAGAATTGAGCATTGAAGCATACATGCAAGCATGGTTTTGTTGAGTTTCATGAGAATGGGCATTATTTGTGCCATTTGAAATGGTATTGAGATCTATAATACACATGCATTAATGATCCATGAAGTTATGGAGTTTGGTTGTAGGCACATTGAAGTTTAATCATGAAGCAATGTGTTTTGGTGGTAAACTTGAGAATTAAAATCACGATCTTGAAGAATTGGTCTCATATTGCTATTGTCCTCATGCCATGTAATGTTTTTCCATGCTTTTGTGTCAAAACCATGAGTTTTGATCCTTTGAATATCAAGTTTGAACTTCAAGAACAGTTCTGAAAATTTCAGAATTTCGCATGTCCGCTCGAGCGGGGGAAGGGCCGCTCGAGCGTGAAATGTTGGTTCCCAGAAGTTTTGCAGACATGATGTTCGCTCGAGCAAGGATATTCACGCTTGAGCGCCAAGCCACGTAGTTTGAATTTCAGCTCGAGCGTCCGAAGTCACGCTCGAGCGTAAATTTGAGGCAACCAGTACTTTTGCAGACCAAAGGGGTCCGCTCGAGCGGGGAACCCTGTTTCAGTAATTTTGAAAAGTGGTTTCATGTATCGTTTTCTGTTCCTTTTCATTTCTAAGTACTCTTAGGCATACATTGCACATTTGTAAATGAATCAAGAAGATAAGAAAGAGGCCTAAGAGGAATGTATGAATTAAGAATGGATTGAATCGTTTGTGACCCATATGTGTTATGTAATGTGTAGGGTCGAGCTCAAGGGCAAATCCACTGGCAGAATACTGTGAGTAATATCTTAGTAAAGATATTTTCAAGTATGTTACTTTCTGAATGCTACTTCTGTATAAGCTTCACGGATTTGTTGGTTTGAAATTTGAATGAGTATTCTATATGCCTAATTTTGTATAGAGCCGTTTGATACGTTTGATATATCTGAATTGGGCCAAAGGTCGTTGGACATGAATGATTGGGCCAAAGACCGTTGGATATGAACGATTGGGCCAAAGGCCGTCGGATATGAACGATTGGGCCAAAGGTCGCCAGACATGAATGAAAAGATGGGCCAAAGGCCGTTTGAATATGTCATTAGATATGTTTGAATACCGTGATAGGCCAAAGGCCGTTTGAATGAAAGGGATCATGACCATGAATATGAAATACGCATGGATATGAATATAAAGAGAATGGGCCCGAGGCCGTTTGATACGCCTGATATGTTCGAATTGGGCCCGAGGCCGTTTGATATGTTTGAAATGGACCAAAGATCGTTTTGAATAAAGAGTTAGCTGGACCAAAGGTCGTTTCGTATAGATGGACTCGAGATCGTATTGTTTTATATAAGAATTGGACCTGAGGTCGTTTGCATATGGATATGATATGTTGGACCTGAGGTCGTTTTGCTTTGTTAAGATTTGTAAGTCTGATGTGAATGAGAATAATGGTTCAAATATGTACATTATAAGTATGATTCATTTATGAACGAATCTCATTCGTTAACCTCTTTATTTTGATATTATTCACTGGGCGTTAGCTCACTCTCATTTATATGTATGTAGGTGAGCAAAGGGACGTTCAACCCCAGCCTTAGTGGAATTTAAGAAGGAACCTGAGTTTTGTGAAGTCAGCCCAGGTGCCTCACGCAAGAGACTTTGTTTATGATCTTTTGTATTTCTTTTGCTACTTCTATTGGTCGTAATAGACCATTTATGTGTATAAGCCTTTGGCATGGCTGACTATGTGTCTGAATGATCCTTGGTATACACAATGTTAACTACTGATATGTGGTGTGAGTTATTACTAAGTATATGTGAAATGTTTTGACATGCCATGTAAGCATAGCTCATTAGACAAAATTTTTAAGTTTGCTTCCGTTTGGCCCCTTCACTCTATTGCTATATGTTTATCAGGTTTGAGGCCGTAAGTAATCTCATAATTACTGGCCGGTTATGACCTTAATCTGTAGGGGCGGGTTCGGGTCATGACATTATGACTAGTGCAATCATATGGTCCAGCACAGGAAATGGAGTATATGTTACATTGCATGTTGTGGATGCAATTTTGAGAAATGGTGATACTGTAAATAATGTAAGTGGCCATACAATTTTTAATGACTAGTGTTCACTTCAATAACTAAAAATAGTTCATTTTATTAACATATATTTAATTGATTTTTGTTTTTGTATGTCATTGACAGCTTCGTAGAAATGCTTCAGATTGAGCAACAAACAAAGAAGTCAGAAAAGAATAAGTCATTCTTTTTCTCAAGCCTTTGTTGAGTAAGCCATTAGTTTGTGTTTAGTTTGAATTGATAAAGTTTTACTGTGGTTTAGTGTAACATTGTACTATATTTTAGAGTTAATTTTTACTATTTGGTTTGCTAAAGATTGACAACTCATATAGCGTGTCACCAACACAACTTGAGACATGACACTTTTATATGATTAAATGCAGTCACTAGTGAAATGGGGTTATGGAGATTTGAGAAATCAGTTAATTGACGAAGTGCTTGATCAAGATTTGAATGGATACAGATACCTTCACTTTTGCATGAACTCCAATGGGAACAAGAAGGAAGAAAAACCCTACCACTGGACACTTCTTGTATTTGACACTAAATTTGATGAGTGGAGACATTACAATTCTTTAAGGCCAAGAGATAATAGAGAAGATCCTTACCTTAAGGATGCAAAAAAGATTGTAAGTGCTTTGCATCATATTAACAGTAATTTTTTACTGTGTTTTATTCTTGTATTTAATAGTGACCAAACAATTATGCAATGATGTTAGATAACATATATGGAGAACAAGTTGGCCAACAAAACGAAGAGAGGTAGAAGAAAGTTTGCAAACTTGGTTTCGGTGAAAGATAGTCCACAACAACGCCCAACATCATAAGTATTTCACGCTACTACTACATGCTTGAATTGGTAATTTTCAAATTTGACTAAATCTAACAAGATCTTGATTTTTATTAATAGTGTTGATTGCGGAATTATTGTATGTTATATTATGCGTCAAATCATAAGAGATGAGCCTATTGCAAATTCTTTGGAAGATGATGAAATTAACAATTTCCGAGTGTCAATAGTGCATCAATTTTTGAATGATTATCCAAAAGTATGGACTGAGGAACAATTCAACCTCAAAAAAAAAAAAAAAAAAAAAAAAAGGGCAAAGAGCTAAAACCTCAAGGATGACAATGTGGACAACTTTTGGAGAACTACTGTGAATGATGTATGTAATTTCGGTTTTTGTAAATGAAATAATGGTGAAAAAGTAATTGTAAGTGAAAGAATACTAAAAGAGTATTAGATAGTACATGTTATGTCTATTGTTTTAGAAAATTTTACTGTGGTTTGGTGATTAATACGTTATTATAGCAAGATATTGTTTTGACTACGAATGAACGTTATTATGGATAGAATGCAATGATGCAGGTTATACTTGTGTATCTTTGATGATATATGTAGTTGTTTTGTTAGATTATTTTTGCACAAAAATTGCATGGTGAGCATCAGGGGAGTTTGTGTATTGTGGTAAAGTTTGGTGTAGTTTGGAAATGTTTTTCTAAGGGGCTACTACACTGTCTGAAATAAAGTAAAATTTTACTCTACATAAAAGTAAAATTTTACCTTACTCTGAAATATGAGTAAATTGTTACACTCTGAATTTAAAAGTAAAATTTTACTCTGCATAAAAGTAAAATTTTACTCTGAAATAAGAGTAAAATGTTACATTCTGAATCTAAAAATAAAATTTTACTCTGCATAAAAGTAAAATTTTACTTTGAAATAAGAATAAAATGTTACACTCTAAATCTAAGAGTAAAATGTTACACCCAAAATCTAAAAGTAAAATTTTACTCTGTATAAAAGTTAAATTTTACTCTAAAATACGAGTAAAATGTTATACTCTGAATCTAAAAGTAAAATTTTACTCTGTATAAAAGTAAAATTTTACTCTGAAAAACGAGTAAAATGTTAGACTCTGAATCTAAAAGTAAAATGTTACTTTGCATAAAAGTAAAATTTTATTCTGAAATAAGGTAAAATTTTAATCTAAAAGTAGCATTTTACTCTGAAATAAAGTAAAATTTTACTGTGAAACCACAAGCTCATCATACTCATAGACAACCATTCAATAACATAGTAAATTTTTACTTTGAAGGACAGTAAAGTTTTACTTTCATGTGAATGAAGGCAATGTTTTACTCTGGAAAAAATAAAATTTTACTCTGCAATAAAGTAAAAGTTTACTCTGAAATACCGAAAAATTTTACTTTGGAAGCACAGGCTGAGCACAACCATTTCAAACCTTCACACCTACTGAACAAACTCCATTATAAGTTCATTTACATGAAACTTATTCAACTACATTAAAAAAATATATTAAAATGTCAAACTCAACCATAAATCAAATCAGAAACTTGAATAGACAACCATTCAAGAACATAGTAAAAATGTCTTTTATTGCAATGTCTCCTTACAAATCTAATCTAAAAAACTATACTATTATTGCTATAGACTATTTATTGCAGAAGAACTGCATTATTTTCATACTTCTATTACAAAATCAATAATGTCTTTCATGGCAATGTCTCATTGCAAGTCTTCCTATTATGACTGTACTTCTCGCATATACCACACTGTACTCGTCTTATCTTCTTAACCCTAGATGGAATCCTATTCTTCCTTGGCCTACCAGGTGGCTTTTTACAAATTGGAGGAAGGACAACAAGATCATCTATAGCTACAAAAGGTTTCTTAACAGTGGGTATTGGATAAACGGACTCAGCATAGCAAGCTTTGAACTTGTTAGTGTAATAAAATGGTTCCATAGATGCATACAAATCACCTCCGCTCTTTTGGATAGCGGCCACTGCGTGAGCACAAAGAAATCCATTCAATTGCCATTGGTAACATGAGCAAGTTCTATTCAAGAGGTCAACGCTAACCGATGACCGGGATTGAACCTCAAAAACATGATCACTTGAATGACTAACCAACCAAGTTCTTCCACTTTTAAGAGCATTTACTAATGTTGAATCCATCTTCGGACAAAGAAAAGTATTCCATATTTTAGCTTGTTCTCTCATTCTCGACATCAAATCCATGATCTTTAACCTAATTGAATCAATCATCTTCGTAGTGGGCAAACGACGAGCTTGACGGATCCATAAATTGAAAGACTCTACCACATTCGAGTGCAATTCACCGTATTTTTGTCCTTTAAAATATGCATTAGTCCACTTGTCATAGGGCAAATTGGATAGAAACCTACAAACAATCCCTTTTCCCTCATCTTGTAATTCTTTCAAACACTGATTAAAACATCCCACTGTCAGAGCATAAACACATGAAGAAAACAAAAAAACTATTCTACTCCTAAAAGTATTGTTGAAACTTGGACCGGAGAACCTATCCCTCAAATTGGCCTTCAAGTGTTGGAGACAAAAATAGTGGTAAGTAGTAGGTAAAACCTTGGGTAAAGCCTCCAAAAGTCCAACGTTCTGATCAGATATGAAGGTAATTGGTCTTTCATCTAACAATATATTCGACAAATGCATAAAAAACCATTCCCAACTGTCTGTAGTCTCCGTATCGACAATTACCATTGCAAGAGGGAAAAGATATAGCGATCCCGGTTTCTAACTCGACCTTTATGGTGTTTCGGACTCGGGTCTTATGGTTTAATGTTGTTGTTATGTCTCTTCCTCCTCTTACTCTTTGAATTTGAGTTTTGGAATGTCTTGGGCGTATTTAGAACAGGTTAGTTGCTAATTGGTCTAGAACCATGTTGCCCAGAATTTTGGTCTTCCGCTTGAACGGGCTTTCTTGCGCTCAAGCGGGGTTTGCAATCACTTAGTATTTTGTGTGTCTGCAAAAACACTGCGGAAGTGTTTTTTGCGCTTGAGCGGAGTTCTTTGTGCTCCAGCGGAGTTCTTTACGCTTGAGCGGCCTTTCTTGCGCTCGAGCGACTGTCTGAAAGTTATAAAATACTAGACGAGTGTATTCTACACTCGAGCGGGTGGTGCCTTACTGTTGTGTCTTGGCGCTCGAGCGGCCTTTTTTGCGCTCGAGCAGGTATAATTTTTGTGTTTGACGCTCGAGCAGATTGCGCATATATCAAATCGCGAAAATGACTTTTTCAATCACTTTTTCTGTCATTTCTCTCTCAAAAACTTTCTAAAACCCTAAGTTGAGAGCTTCTCTCTCTAAAATACTCTCTCTTTCTCTACATTTTGGCCTTGATCTATTGAATTCCAACCCTTGTGTCTTCATTGAGCTTCTCAAGATCTTCCATTTGATTCGAGTAAAATCAAGTTTGGGCGTCGTTGAGGTTTGTCCACTTCTCCTTTGAGCTTCTACACTTGAGGTAAGGATATTCTACTCTCCTATATGGGTTTTAACCTAAGTATTAGTCATTTTGTATAAATGGTGGGTTTGTGGAAGGTTTGGGTAAAGTTGAGGTTAGGGTTTTGATGTTTGTAAAAGAGGGCTTTCCTATTTTGGGTTCCATATGTATGTGAGACCTTGAGAATAGGGTTGTTTGTATATAATGGGGAAAATTTGGCCTTGAGTGCAATGGTTGAGAAAATGGGGAGAAGGCCCCAATTTGCTTTATATGGACTATTTGTTTAAATAGTGAAATCATTATGGAAATATGAAATTGGTGGAAATTGTGATTAAATGGTGTAGTTGGATTGATGAATCACTCACCTATGGAAAATGTGTTATATTATCTGTTGAGAAATTTATTTATCTATTTAGATATATCTGTTTTGGGCTATCGGTGGAGGATAGCCATGATTGTTATAGAAACTGCATGTTGATTAGGTAAATTGAAACTAATCAATTGGAATATGTCATTGAATATGACGGTTGGATATTAACATTGAATATGTGATTTAATTGGTCATTGTATATGATGACGTGTTAAATACATTGTATATGTATCTTGCTTGGGAGGAGATAGGGTTATGTACTCCAATGTGTGGGAGGAGATAGGGGATGGACTTCATGGATAATTAAGTTGGTCGGAGTGTCCAGGGTGAAAGTCCCGAAATCTTATACATATTTGGGTGTCGGTTCCCTCGGACGTAGTTTCGTAAAATGGCAAAGTTATGGAAGTGTATGAATAATGTTTATGATTGAAGTATTGATGAATGAGTTGCAGTCTCATTTCGAATTGTTTACATGATAATGAATTATGTCAATGAATTGGCTTGGGTAATTATTGGAAGTGAATTGAAATGTGGAGATCCATGTTGATTGATTATAGGAAAGGTTTAAGATGGTTTATAAGTGTTAAACATTTATCAAATGCTAATGTTTTAGTTAATTCACATATGTTGTTTAGCATGTCTCTACTGGGCATTGGCTCACCCTACTAGGGACACCATTTTTCAGGTATAGGTGATATGCCGCCTCCAAGATCTTAGCTTGGGAGGTTTTGGAGTTGAAGACTCCTTTTTGTTATTCATTTTGATGATTAATGTATATTCAAGCCTAGGGCTTTTCATGTATAGAGTTATAACTCTTCTTTTATTGTAACTAAGTGATAACTTGGAAAGATGTAAGCCCGTACGGCACTTATTTTGTTGTAAACATTTGGAATTTCATGAAATACCTTTTACAACATTAACTCTGATGAATGAACATGTACTCTTTTCTTTATGTTCACAGAACTTGTGAATGAATGATTCATGTATTAAATTGAGGGCGTTAGAAAAAACCTGAAAAATAACATTTTACAATTAGTAAGTATATTAAACGAAAATGACAAATATAGTAGATTTTTACTCTGAATAACAGTAACATGTTACTCTGAAAATAAGTAACATGTTACTCTGAGAATAAGTAACTTGTTACTTTTGAAAAAACTATAGTAATATCTACCTTGATCCCCATCCTTCTCTGCAGCTGTTAACAATGTGCCCTTATGTTTCCCCTTTAGAAAAGTTCCATCGATAAACAATATAGGACGGCGATGCCTAAACCCTTGAATGGAAGATTAAATGCAACAAAAAACCTCTTGAACCGTCCACTTTGATGGTTATAGTCAAGACGCAAATAGCTACCAAGATTTGTGCTCATCACAATATCCATATACCATCAAATCTCATCGTAAGACATAAAGAAATCTCCAAAAGTAATAGTCCTAGCTTTCTCAACTCCCAACCAAGCATGATTGTACATAATGGTGAGCCCGTATTGATCTGTAAATTAACGCACAACATCAATTGGACGAGTTTGGGGATTCCCACGAACTTCATTAACAATCAAACTTGCAACTAAATTTGAACTCATCCTTGAGTTTTTAGAAGAACGAACTGCAGCTCCACAAGTATGCTCATCATGTAGAGTCCTAATGTAGAAAAAATTATTAGCACTTTCTAGAGATGCATGTACTCGCCATAAACAAGCTTTTGACTCTCGTATTGAACACACAATAGTGACCCGACACTTCTCATTCTTCACATACACGAACTCAAATCCTATCTCAATGGCATATTTACATAATGCAGTCTGGAAATCCTTTGCACCTCCAATAAATCTTTGACCTACATGAGTAATTCCATTCACCCATCCACAAGACAACAAAGTCTTTTCTTCATGTTAACAAAACATAGAGAATAAATCCATTTCATCATCAGTAATGTTGGATCCACTAGCGTCCCCTGATTCTCTAACTCCATATTTTTCATTTGAAATGCCCATTTCAGCAATAGTCACATTAACACAGTCAACACCAAGGGGATAAACAAGCGACAACATATTCTGAAAATCAGAATCTTCATCAATCATGTATTGCGAATGTCCAGGTAAACAGTACGATAACAGTATGCAACCACTACTGTCAAACTTTTTCAATTTAAAACTTAAGAAATCAGTTAAATCTTTCAATGTGTAGTTTGACACAACCTTGAACACAATGGTACGATCACCATACTTGCACAACAACATAAGAGGTGGAACCATTTTACAATCTGTAATCAATTAACAGTAAAAATTTACTGTCGATCAAAGTAAAATTTTACCATCACTATCAAAGTAAAATTTTACTGTCACTACAAGTCCAAAAGTCAAGATTAGTTTGATCTAATACCCATTCCTCATATGGTCATCTTTATCTAAGCTTTCCTAATACAAATCATTTTTAGACATTCCAATTTGACTTCTTTGAACATCTTAGAATATGACTTCTTTGGGACTAATGGATGAGTCTTTATGAAGTTCTCTAGGTCTAAAAATAGTTCATGCCTACCCAATTCCACCTCTTGACAGCAAAATTTTACTGTCATTCTAACACCAAAGTAAAATTTAACTCTCATTCTAAACAGAGCACGTACCAGAGTAAAATTTTACTCTAATTCTCTCAAACAAAAAACAAAGCAATAGAACCAGAGTAAAATTTTACTCTCATTCTCTCAAACAAAAAACAAAGCAATAAAACCAAAGTAAAATTTTACTCTCATTCTCTCAAACAAAAAACAGAGCAATAAAACTAGAGTAAAATTTTACCCTGAATCTGTTAAACAAAATCAGATCAAACACAACAAAAATAAATAAAAAAAAAACAAACAAACAAACAAAAATAATCAACAAATCAACATACCTAATTGAGAAGAAAAACCTCTAAAACTCGATCAACAGTCACAAATCTCAATGAAACTCTCGTTTAATTGAGATTGTTGATCGTCGGGGGCGAGATCGTCTATCGTTGACCAAGTGAGAGATTTTCGACTGCAAGATTTTCAGATTTGGAGTTCGTCTTCATCAATTTCATTCCAGATTTCGCAAATTGTAGCAGATCGTATACAGCTCAGATTTCAAATATTTCAAATATATGATATGTATATATAGATGGGCAATATTGCCATAAAAAAAATAGAAATTATAAAATGTCCTTCTTAACGTAGACATTTCTTACTCAGGGGCTTTTTGAAAGAAAATTGTTTGGGTTATCCTTAACCCTAATAAAAAGGCCCAAAAAGGCGGTTTCATCAAAAATCCCTATTTTTAACACATTTTATTGAGGAATAGTATCCAAATCTGTTTTTCCTAATCTAATAATTTTTTAAATTCTGTAATTATTTAACTCATTTATTAATGATTAAAAAGAACCAGAATCATGCCTAGTGAATTTTGATACATGGCACTAACTACATCATTATTTATTTATCAATGATTAAAGTCCTCTAATTATTTAACGGAGAAGGGGCTACTACTGTGCCTTAAGGCACAACAGTTACTGTTGTCGCCTTGTGGGAGATCTTCCTGAGTGTTTTTCGATGATCTGAACCGTTCATATTGTAGGGTTTGTTAAGAATATTATTCTTGTAAAAAATAAGTTAATCGGATATTCATAACCCCATGATTAGGTCCTAATTGTTATATCAAGGATCTACCTTAAGTCCTTATCTTTTTGCTTTAGTTATGGATGAGTTGACGAGAAATATCCAGGATGACGTACCATGGTGTATGTTTTTTGCAGATGATATAGTACTAGTGGATGAGACTAGAGAATGAGTTAATACAAAGTTGAAGATTTGGAGAAAAGCTCTTGAATCTAAAGGATTCCGGATAAACAGAACTAAGACAGAGTACATGGAGTGTAAATTTAGTAACAGTAACAATGAAAGTAGAGAAAAAGTGAAGATTGAGAACCAAGAAATACCTAAGAGTGAACATTTTCGTTATTTAGGGTCGATTATCACAACAGCGGGGAAAATTGATGCAGATGTGGCCCATAGGATTAAGACGGGATGGTGTAAGTGGGGAAGTGCGTCTGGGGTACTGTGCGATAAACGAATACCAACTAGACTTAAAGGTAAGTTCTATAGAACGGCTATTAGACCAGCGATGTTGTATGGAACGGAGTGTTGGGCAATCAAGAAACAACATGTAGATAAGATGAGTGTGGCTGAGATGAGAATGCTATGGTGGATATGTGGCAAGACTAGACATGACAAGACAGAATTAGGAATGAGTGTATTCGAAAATGGGTAGGAGTAGCACCGATAGAAGATAAGTTGAGAGAGAATCGATTGAAATGGTTTGGTTATATTCAATGGAGACTAACAGAGGCAGTAGTGAAGAGATGCGATGCTGTAATGGTAGATTGAAGTGTTAGGGGACGGGGTAGGCCTAGATTAACGTTGGTTAGCATTGTAAATAGAGATATGGATCAACTTAATTTGACTAACAAATTGGCCTTTGACAGGGCAGCGTGGAGAAGAATGATTTATGTAGCCGACCCCATTTGATGAGACTTAAGGCTTGGTTTGATTTGGTTTATGTTAACCATTAATTTTTATAGAAACAAATGTGCTTTGGTTATAGGGCTACAAATATCCAATTAACTTGATTTTTTGTATGAATGATCTACTCGACGAACCCTACAATATGAATGGTTCAGATCATCGAAAAACACTCGGGACAATTTTCCACAAGGAAGCAACAATAACTACTATGCCTTAAGGCACAGTAGTACCCCTTCTCCTTACTTAACACACGCACTCTCTCTCTCTCTTGAATGTAAACACATTGTTAAACTATATATATGTTATATTTTGTGTGTTTATTTTTTATTTTTTTTGTTAAATGAAACTAATACGATTTTTTGTAAGTAACATGATGGACATGTGCAATATTTAATCAAACCATAAGTCAAATAAAGGAAAATGTTTTAGAGCTCTAATTATAGAACTCTAATTACAACTCTAATAAGATGGCAGTGGGCCCCACCCACTGATGATATGATGCATGTATCTTGTTCTTTTTTTTTCTTTTTTTTTTGCTTCTTGCCACGTCAGTGGAGCTCCACCATTAGAGTTTTGAATCATGATTGCAAAATAAAATAATAATACAAGTCATTTTGGAGTATGATACACATTCGTGGACAAACTAGCTAGAGAGAGAAATACATGAAACTACAAATTACAAATTACAAAAACAAAGACACATAATACTCATTAAAGTTCTTGGATCTCATCCAATGCATAGTTGTTTGTAGATACATTAACATAATTGACTTTGTTAAACCGAACAACCACTGGGTACCTAGTCTTCGGATCCTACACATTTCCAAAAACAAAACATACAAATGAACACACAAACATAATTAATTAAACATTCAATTTTGAAATGTAATTGAAGGGATTGACATTTTAGAACACAAAAATACATAATGATTTGAAGATAGTTTAAGCAAATTTTGAAACTCATTTTAAGATCGGCTTGAAAGAAAAAAATAAGTAGCTTGAATAAATTTTAAAACTTGTTAGGGATCACCTGATCAACAGCTACAACTGAGCCCATGCCGTTATGCCAATACAACTCCCTCCTAAGAATTTTAACTCGTTGAGGGAAACAACTAACAAGTAATCAATCTAACTCTATTTTGTTTACATAATTTTATTTTTTATTTTTTTAGGGCATGAATGTAAAATATGTATAATGTACAATGACCTTAGTGCCTTTCTTGGGTCCAATCGGAGGTGGCTTAGCTGTCGCTGGAGGCAGTGGAGCCTCGGTGGTTGATGGTGGCTCTGCCTCTCGAGCCATCCTTACAACAACCAATCTTAACATATTACTACTCCTGGAGGTGGAAAGGCTCGGGCTACAAGTGAGGTTAGGTGTCAATCCAAACCCACAAGCAGCAGATGCCATGCTGCAGCTTGGCATGCTCTCTTTCCTCTTTCTCTCTCTCTCTCTCTAAAACAGTAGAGATAATAATGGATTGAGACTTTAATGAAACCAACAAAAATAACTGAAACTTAAAATATGCATAAGATGTGAGAGAGGGTTTGAATTAATTTGGTTTTTTTTTCTTTCTCTTCTTTTCCTGGATGATGATCAATCAATATCTATGACACTTGTTGTTAATTCTTTCAACCAGTAGAATGTTACCACCTGTGTACCATATCCAATTCATTTGGATAATGTAAGCTCTTCTCACCTTCTCAACTTTTCCAAGATTATTATTATGTATATATATGCGATTGTAGCAAAGTTATATTGTTTCCTCATTAATTCATGTTTAATTCAAAGTGATTAGTCCTAATAAAAACTACATATAATTGTAACCAATTTTATCTTGCATAATTATTCAAGATGCATATTTTATAACTATCAAAAACTAATTCCTTTTAAGCAAAATAATGATTTTTTGACCCCCTCCCAAAAAAAAAAAAAAAACACTAATGATGAATTCATATTGAGAATCTTTAAACTCATTTTCATTGAAACAAAACTGTAGCTTACACTTGTTTATATACTGTAAACAAAATATCTAATCCTAACTAACTCTCTTTAACCATATGTAACTATATAACAAACTATCTAACCACCACAACTAATTCCATTGTAGCATACTATCGGAACACTATTCTTACAGGTCTATGATGCAGAAGTTATAACAAACAAAGGCAGCAACTCAGGTTTGCTGTGAGATGATGATGATGATGATGAAAGTTGTGTGCTGTGAGATGGTGATGATGAGATAACTTCTTCAGCCTCCCTCAAGTTGATAGGGCAAGGAAGCACTAACAGTTTGTCGCGAAGATAATGAAATCTAGAAAGACAAAAAGGTTTAGTGAAAATATCAATCACCTGATCAATGGTAGGAATATATTTAAGTTCAATCTGTTTGGCAACCACTTTTTCTCGAATACAATGACAATCGATTTCGATATGTTTTGATCGAGAATGAAAAACAAGGTTGGATGCTAAAGCCATAGCAGATAAACTATCACACCAGATAACAAGAATAACAGAAGAGGAAACACAGAAATCCTTGAGCAACTGTTGAATCCAAGTGAGCTCAGCTGTGGCATGAGCTAAGGCTCAATACTCAGCTTCAGAGGATGACCAAGAGACAGTTGCTTGCTTTTTAGCTGACCAAGAAATCAAGTTTGAGCCAAGATATACATAATAACCAGAGGTGGATTTTTTATCAAAACTATCACTGGCCCAATTAGAGTCTAAAAAAGCAGAAAGATCAAAAGGACTAGGTGTGAAAGAGAGACCATGAGACAAAGTCCCTTTCACATATCGAAGAAGCCTCTTAACGGCTTGAAAATGAGCATTAGTGGAAAGATGCATAAACTGACAAGCTTGATTAACAACATAGGAGAGATCAGGTCTGGTGATAGTCAAATATTGCAGACCACCTACTAAACTTCTATACAGAGGGGGCTGAGCAAATGGCAGAGAATCAGCTACAGAACATACTGATTTAACAACCATAGGAGAAGAGCATAGTTTGTAGTCTTACAAACCTACTTTGTGCAATAAGGCAGCTGCATACTTGGCTTGAGATAAAAAGTAACCATGCTTATGAGAATGAACTGAAATTCCTAGAAAATATGACAGAGAACCAAGCTCTTTCTTAGAAAAAACCTTGTGCATTTGCTGAAGAAGTTGAGCAATTAGAGTAGAATCATTACTAGTTAGTAAGATGTCATTAACATCTACCAAGAGAATGATGAGACTAGTAGAAGTTTTTCTGATAAAAAGAGAAGTATCGGAAAGACTATTTGTGAACCCCTGAGAGAGCAAGAAGGCATAAAAAGTAGAGTACTAAGCCCTAGGGGCTTCCTTGAGACCATATAAAGCCTTCTTGAGTTTGCAAACATGAGTAGAAGATTGTACAAATCCTAGAGGCTGCAACATATAGACTTCTTCCTGAAGAATGCCATGAAGAAATGCAGTTGAAATATCAAGCTGTTTGATAGGCCATTGAAACTGAAGATCAATACTTAAGAAGATTCTAATTGTGGGTTGTTTAGCCATTGGACTAAAAGTCTCATGACAATCAATGCCTTCTTGTTGCAAAAACCCCTTTGCCACCAATCTAGCTTTATAACAAGCAATTGTACCATTTGACTCTCTTTTAATGCGAAAAACCCATTTGCACCCAATGGCAATCTTATGAGGAGGAAGGTCAACAAGGTCCCAAGTGCCTTGTTGTTAAAGAGCCTGATATTCTTCCTTCATGGCTTGAAGCCACACAGGAGATTGAAGAGCAGCTTGAACAGAGGTAGGCTCAGTGTCAAGAAGAGATACAATAGCAGAAAGACACTGAGGAATTTTATGTTTGGATCTAGTGATCATGGGATATGTGTTAGAGACAGAAAAAGGAAGAGAAGGATGAGGTAAGTCAATGGTAATAGAAGAAATAGGAATAGGCTGAGCAAGAGAAGTAGGAGCAGGAGAAGAAGAAGGCTCAGAAGGAGCAGTAGATTGAACAAAAGAAGAAGAAGACTGAGCAGGAAGCACAGATGAAGAACTGAGTGAAGAAGGCCAGAAAAAGGAAGTAAGAGTAGACAAATCTGAAGATGAAGGAGAAGAAACTAAGGGCTGATGCTGAGAAAAAGGAAAACATGATTCATTAAAGACTACATGCCTAGAAATGTGGACTTTTCCAGAAAGAGGATCAAGACATCTATAACCCTTAATAGTAGGATGATACCCTAAGAAAACACAAGAAATGGATTTTGGTGCCAGCTTGTGAGGGGTGTAAGGCTTTAACCAAGGAAAACATTAACAATCAAACACTTTGAAAAATGAAAAATTAGGTAAGGTATGAAACGACATTTCAAAAGGAGTCTTGTGATGTAAAACACTAGAGGATATTCTGTTAATGAGAAAGGTAGCTGTTGCAATGGCATCAAACCAAAAATTAATTGGAACAGAGGAGTGATGAAGCAATGTGATTGCAGTTTCAATAATATGTTTGTGTTTGCATTCAGCTATGCCATTTTGAGCCTGAGTATATGGATAACTACTTTGATGAACAATGCCATGAGAAGACAACAAAGTATCAACTCTTTTATTAAAAAATTCAGTACCACAATCAGTCCTAAGTAATTTAAGAGAAGTCTGAAACTGAGTGTCAATATAGGCTTTGAATACAAGTAATTTATTATACAACTCACTCTTGTAATTCAAAGGATACACCCAAGTGAATCTACTGTAATCATCCACAAACAAAACATAGAAATGAAATGGGGCATTAGCCACTGTAAAAGGACCCCATACATCACTATAAATTAAGGCAAAAGGACAATTAATAGAAGTATTAGACAATTTGAAAGGAAGCCTATGATCTTTAGACACATTACAATCAAGGCAAGACAAGTCCTTATTCAAAGAAAGTTTATTTGGTAAAAAAACAGCCATATGTTGAAGCTTTAAAGAAAATGGATCGTCTAATCTATGATGCCAAAGCATATCAGACACAGGAGCTGTAATGCTAGACTGAAAAACTTGGGAAGAGAATTGCTCAGATGATGGAATGAACTAGTAGAGACCATTGACATTAACACCTCTATGCAGAACCTTGTTCGTGCATTTGTCCTGAATGACAAAAGTATTAGCATAAAAAATAACAAGACAATTGTGGTCTTTGGTAAGTTAATGCACAAATAAAAGATTTGAAGAACTGGTAGGTACATGAAGAAGATTTGAGAGATGAAAAAATAATGTGGAGTAGGCAAGCGACCTTTACCTATGTGATTGATTAGTAAAGAGGAATCATTACCAACTTGAACCTGTTCCTGACTTTGATAAGGCTGAAATTGTTGAAAATTAGTCAAGTCATTTGTCAGATGGTTGGTGGCAGCAGAGTCAACATACCAAGGAGATATGAGAGGATCAGAAGAAGGCTAGGGCATTAAAGCAGCATAGGTCGTTGACCGAGACAGAGAGGACTGTGAGGAGTTATTGTGAGAGGAAGGTTGAAAAGTAGGATCCAGTCGATGCCAACATTCAAAAGCAGTATGACTTAGACCTCTACAAATCTGACATCCAGAGTTAGAATAAAAAATGCCTCTGGATCTATTATTACTATACCTATTTTTGGATCTGCCTCCTCTAGAACCGCAATATGGATCTCTGCCTCTTGCAGAATGAAAGCCTCGATTAGAAGAACTTGAAAAATCATAACTAGACTAAGAGGAAGATGACTCGTGAGGCAGAGTAGGCAACATGAAGATCAGTGCCAGTGGAATGTTTAAGTTTTTGTTCAATATGAATGGCCTCTGAACATAACAAGGAACACAAATTTTCCATTTTGACAGTCTCGGATCGAGTACGAATAGAGGTTTTAAAAGCATCATGTTCCTCTGGCAAACCATTTAAGGTTAGAAATACCAGATCCTCATCATCAACTTTTGCAGAAGCTAAAGCTAACTGAGCTGCAAGATCTTTGATTTGAGATAGAGATACCTCCATTGAAGATGATTTCTTGCAGAATGTTTGGAGTTTGGTTTTCAGTTGATGGATATGAGAACGTGAAACAGAAGTAAATTGCTTCTCTAAAAATTGCCATACCTGATCGTTGTGAGTCAGATGAAGAACAAAAGAATAAATGGATGAAGATAGAGTTGCAGTTAGACAAGTGAGCAAATGTGCATCAATCAGTTGCCATTTTGCATAACTTGGATTTGGAATGGTTTTTCCAGATGCATCAATGAGTTCTGGATATGGACATGGATTGGATCCATTTACATGATCAAGAAATCCATATGCTCTAAGTACATTTGTCATCTGCAACTTCCATATGAGAAAATTGTTGGATTCGAGCTTCACTGTGATGAGAGAATTGAAATTTGAAATCAATAAACTGAGATTTGGTGGTAGAGAAGAATCTGCCATTGAAAGGCTGTGGATCTTGCTCACGAGAGCTTAATACTCTGATACCATATTGAGAATCTTTAAACTCATTTTCATTGAAACAAAACTATAGCTTACACTTGTTTATATATTGTAAACAAAATATCTAAACTATACAAAATACCTAATCCTAACTAACTCTCTTTAACCATATGTAACTATATAACAAACTATCTAACCACCACAACTAATTCCATTGTAGCATGCTATTGGAACACTATTCTTACAGGTCTGTGATGTAGAAGCTATAACAGACAAAGGTAGCAGTTCAGGTTTGCTGTGAGATGGTGATGATGATGAAAGCTGTGTGCTGTGAGATGGTGATGATGAGATAAATTATTCATAACATCATAAGCTGCATACATAAAGTATCAAAAAGGAAATTTCTTTCAAAAATTTTAGTAGTCTTTTTGCTGGGTTAATTTGGTAAAAACAAAGGGAGTGGACTTCGTGCCCGTCCATGAATTAGATAATTAGATTGGAGGATTTAATCAATAAGAATTTGAATTTACTTTGAACCTTCTTTGATAATTTAAATAAGTCATTTTAAAAAGTCTATCAAATAAATCATTCATGCAAAAATTTGGATTATTTCGATATCAATAACTACTTAGTTAGACCAAATTTGTCTTTAAAAAAGCTATAATTTATTTTTGAATTAATAATTATTGTTCAATTATTTTAAAACAAATGTATAACAAACCCATAAATAATTCCGCAAAATAATCTCACTCTCTTCATTTTTTGAAACATAGTATATAATGATTAAATACAAAATAAAATAATAGAGAGCAGTCTTTGGCTTATGATTTGAAACTAAACCCCCAATAACTTCTAAAACTCTCAATCACATGCAACCTCTCATCAAACTCATGCCCAGCACCCCTAGCCCCCCCATCCCTCATCTCCCTCCAATACAAACTCCAATTGTCTTCTCTCTCTAAAACATTCAACAACCTCTCTCTCTCTCTCTCTCTACTTTGCTCAAACTAGTTCAAACTCCACTTTATCAATACCCATTTCCAATCCAAACAAAAAAACACTTGCAACTTTCACTTACACTTGAGTTGGTCTTTATTATATTTTTTATAACTGAGTGTCAAGCCAGAAGTTAGTCGTTCATTTTCTATAAATTCTTGCAAAAATGTTTAACTTTTCTGGTGACAGTGACGACTTCTTTTCTCACCGATGTGTCTGGGTTAACGGGCCGGTCATAGAGGAAGCGGGCCCGTCCGAGCTCGCCGTGGGAGCTTGCTTGAGGGAAGAAAGAGTGCCCTTTGTAGTCCTTGAAAAGGCAGATTGCATTGCTACTCTGTGGCAAAAAAGGACTTATGATCGCCTCAAGCTTCACCTCCCAAAGCAATTTTACCAGCTCTCCAAATACCCATTCCTTGATCACTTCCCAGAGTACCCCAACCAAGAAACAATTCATAGACTACCTCGAATCATACGCCAAGAAATTCGACATTAACCCACAATTCAACGAGTGTGTTCAATCGGCTAAGTACAATGAGGCCTGTGGGTTGTGGCGAGTCAAGACGGTTTCTATCTCTGGGTCCGAGGTCGAGTACATTTGCCAGTGGCTCGTGGTGGCCACCGGAGAGAATGCAGAGTGTGTCATGCCAGAGATTGAAGGGTTGAAAGAATTTTCCGTCGAAGTTTTACAGGCTTGTGAGTACAAGTCCGATGAAAAGGTCACCGAAAAGCGAGTTCTTGTTGTGGAAATTCCGGCATGGAAGTCTCTCTTGATCTCCGCAACCATAATGCCAAATCATCCATGGTTGTTCGAAGCTCGGTAAGTCATCATTACATTATTACCCTTTTCTTAGTCAATAATTTATAATCAATCACATTCACAAAAATTTCAGTTGAAGCAATGCTAAGTCCCAAAAAATTTTCTGGGCAATACAAGAACCTGTAGTATCACAAATTGGAAGAAAAAAAAACACCAATGTGTTTGGTTTGAGTTTTCTGGATTAAGTTTTTTGAAAATTGATTTTTTTGGTTTTCGCGTTTTTTTGTTTTTAGTGAATATTTTTAAAATTTTAAACATTTTTTTTACTTTTTTAGATGCACCTTACTTAGATGTATCTAAAAAGTAAAAAAATTGTGAAAAA